AAGGAATCAACACCGGCCAATGAATACACCATGGTTACAACTTTTTTTATCTATTCGAGTTTTTCCACAACACGTGCCTTCTGGTGGTCGTATTTGCAATGGATGTGGTTTATTGTTCTCCAAATGGAAACATTCATATCCTGAATATACTCATGTGATCGAATATGTTGATAGTAATTGTGAGAAAAATGAAGAACAAGGAAAGGTAAGTCGGTTTTATATAAATACTGAGTATCATTTTCTTCACTTATGCGATATTGTATAGGATGACGATAATGATTTCGAAATGAAGATTGATTTTCCGCCATTACCACAAACATTGCCTCATGAGTCCGATTTCATGTTCGTTCCTTATGTACATATATTCCAAAATCGGAGTATACAGAGTTACAAAGTCGTCCAGAAGCACTACTTATTCCTTTCGTTGATTTATCAATGAACGTTTCAGTTACATCCCATAGGTATGTTAAACTGTAGTGAAAAGCGAGATGGCGTTTCATTGTTTATGTTGAATCTCACGGTTTTTAGGATGTGCTGTATTTGTCGAGAACAAATAGCTGCGCCCTCTGTGACAATATCTGAGAGCGAACGAGAGCGTGTTTTTTTTGTTAAAAATATCGTTATACCACTTGGAACTCGACGCTGCTCAAAACACGTCGAACACCACTATCTCACCAGTGATGCTATGTCTAAATTATATCCGAAGTAAGAACCGATTTGATTTGAAGCAGTTTTTGTTGTCATTTTTTGATAGTCTTTGTGATAATATACAATTCACACATAAAGTCTTTTATGTGTGAATTATAATTATTTCTTAGCTTTCTTCATTAAGAAAAGAGAAATTTCCAATCCGCTTGAAAGTACTAGAATAATATACAAGTGATGGTCAAAGCCGAGATCTTAGTGCTATGTACCACTTGTATTCAGTTTTTTATTAGTAAAAGTAGCACTATATTTTTATGCGCACTTCTAATATAAGCATAATATTTAATATGCAGTAATCTATAAACTCAATCTAGAGACTAATAACAATCAACAACACTTTATCTCTAGCGTCTCCTGTTCGTAACTTGGAATTCTCTCGCTATAGCTTCTGCCATAGCAAAAGTTTTCTGCCACTACCTCAGTCACGCTTTAACAATGCATCGCGCATCCGTACAATGAGTCAAATATTCAGATATGAGCGAAAACGAAAATGAGCAGCCATTACAAACAGTGAGCATTTTAGGAACTCTGATGACTATCGCTAATAAAAGAGCTGCATGAACTAATACAAATAGGAACGAAAACCAATTTACTGAAAAAATCCCATTGTCTTTGAACGGAAAAAAACAGTCACTATGGATAAAGCATGCTCGTTCGAGTTTAAGCTGAATCATATTCAGTTCACTGCGGGCTTACATTTACATACAACTACAACCAACTTCTACTAAAATAGTTAGTTACTAACAAATGCATGTTTGTCTTTACCAATATTTTTATCTGATCACTTACAGGATCTCCACTAAACATTCTGGTGGTCGTCCAGATGTGTTTCCTTTTCGCGTTTAGACACCTTTATGCATTGACTCATCCTCTAAAACGTGTTTTAGCTTGTTTTCGTTCCACTCAATTATCGAATTCTATATTAGACGGCGATAAGTGCGTAAACACTCAGACATTTTCTCTTATTTATACTGCACCATTCGATAGAATTATTTATAAATTAGATGACACATTGACAACATTACCACAAATAAATATCGAAATAATGATCGAAAAATTAAACTATTCTTTTATATATCTTTTTGTTTTTGTTTTTTTTGTTACAATGAAATGTTCATTCTAGAATAAAATATTTCATAGTTAGGGTATCTGAGGTATTTAGGTATTGAACTATTTAAGGTTTTTAGGGTCAGAAAACAGTCTTCTAACCACCCAAAGTTCAGAATCTGACTATAAGCTTGAAACAAAAGTTATTCATCAAAGAATAAGCTACAATCCCATAGCGGTTGAGCCTTAACCGATAAAATGCTGACATAGTTAGTCTGAAGAGTCCAAATCTGACATAAAGTCCAAATTGTTGAAAGCAACGCATATTCTGAAAAAGAAGACTTTAGCCTATGTAGCTGAGCGAAAACTCAATTTCAAGTTTTCATAATTTTTCAAGAGAAATTTGTTACAAAGCAATGAATTTATTTTTGAAAGAGCTTTGTAATAGAAGAGCGTTAGCGACATTAAACTCCATATATATAGCTCAGAGTTGGAACCGGTCTAAAAATAAGAGGCCGGGCCGGGCCGGCCGGTTCAAAACAGCAGATCGGACCGGACCGGCTGGCCCAAAAATCTTTTTAGACCGCTGAAAAACGGCAAAAAGACCGGCCGATTTTCAACAAATTTCGAGAACGGTGAAAAACCGGCAAAAAACTGGGCGGTTTAGACGTTTTTATCAGTCTTTGATAGTGATACAGAAAACATGACGGTAATAGCTATAGCTAGATAGGGATTTAATCCTTTTCTGTATCACTATCAAAGAATGACTAAGAAACAAAAGAAGAAGAAAATAGTCCGGTTTGTTCTTATTTTAATTATAGGTTATTGTATGTTAAGTCATTTGTCTTAAATTTAATGTCTGAAGAACATGTCAGTTTTCTTGAACGAAGAAGAGAAAAATGTTAAGAATTTAAAACCGGTCGGTCACCGGCCGGTTTGAAAATATTTCTAGACCGGCAAAAGATCGGTGGAGACCGGCCGGTCTAAACTTTTACACCGGACCGGACCGGCACCGGCCCGGTTCCAACTCTGATATAGCTAGGTTCAAAACGCCCAGTTCATTATAAGCACAATCTGTGTTTACGCCCTGTCAAATGACAAGCATTTTTCAAATATTTAATAATTCTTTCATTGTCAACACCTTAGCGTTGAATGTGATCTTGCTGCTTTACGCTTAAATCAACAATTGTTGGACCGGTCCTGTCTTTTGTTAACAAACTATCATCGATAACTAAATCAATTTTTGGCCACAATGATTCAAATTCATTTATCGTTAATGAACTGACTGAATCTGCTATATTTGCACTAGTCAATGCAATCGGTTCATTTAGACGATGTGCTAGTTCAATCATGAAGGTATAATCTGGAATGCGAACAGCTATATTTTGAACAGATGGATTAAATTAATCTGGTAATGTCGTTTTGTGTAGAAACATTAACAGGTCCTGGAAGTAACTCGTTCAAGTGTTCCTTGGATATTGTACGTACAGACCATTTAGAGATGGCATCGACCGTACCAACAGAACTGGCCACTGGTTTTAAAAAATTACGTTGCGTATATTCGTTTTATCGCTCGTTCATTTCGTACTAATGCCGCCAAACCGTAAATCGAATCAGTTGAAACAGCAATAATACCATCATTCTCTAGAATAGTTTTTATTTTATCAATGGATGACAGTGCTTCATTTAGGGTAATAATATTTGACATGTTAGCTCTTTTTTTGTAAACAAAATTTGATAAAAATCGATGGAACCAAAATGTTTTGCTTCTTTTCAAGGAAAGAGTTACTGATGAAAAAAAATCCCATATATTCATATCTGCCATTCGAAACACAACAAATTTCCATCTTATATATCAGATATGAAGTTGAAATGAGAATAGCTTAAACATCTTTTTAAAATAAATGAAATGATATGTCGTGTGTGTGGCAGATGACTGTTTGATCGCGGTATGCTTTATGATATCTTCATTTCAGTTCTATTGAAAACTTAAATTTCTCCAACGCTAACTGTTTAAATGGTGATAAATATTATTTGACACAGGAGAACTGTATTATCACAAATAGCATTCGAAATAGACGCGAACACGAATGGAGATCTGAATACGATTTTCTATTAGATGATACTATACAACGAATGAAAAAACAGTGGCAAGACTGAGACAGAATGTCTCTCGAAAATTGGTTGTCTCGTTTTTTACTGAGAAACTGATGTTACTGAATTTTTCTGATTGGGTGATAAAAAAATTTACGATCTGGTGGCTCAGAAACTCAGTTCAGTTCAGTTTCTCAGTAAAAAAACGTAGAACACGAAAATTTTTGTTTTATTCGCTTACTGTATGCTAAACTGAATTTGATCTTGACAATAACTTATCTGGTGCAGTTTCATCTTAAAGTCACTTAAATTATTAAGTTTTGTTCCATTTTAGATGAATATCTCAACAAAACCCATTCATTCCGTCATTATTCGTACTGTTCGCTTATTTCTTGCACCTGCAGTTTTATTTAAAACGAAAAATCGTTTTTTCTTCACACGTCGATTATTACTTACCGGAACATTATGTACTAGTATACCTCTAACTTATATTACCTTTAAATGTATAATTGTGAACAATACGTCCTTATTATCTGAATGGAGCAAACGACTGTTGATTTTACATGCAAAAACAGCTGATTTAACAACATTAGGTAAGCGGACTTCAATATTTATCAAGAAAAAGAAGAATATCCTGTTATCTGCCTTTAGTATGTTCTAATATAATCTAAGAGTTTCCGAACTAAATGTGTGTTTCCACAAAAATATTTGCCATTTTATTCATTTAGAGTATCAGCTGTTTGAAGCAGCTCATGACGATAAATTAGATACATTGAAACGGTTAGTTGAATCTTGACTACGAATACTTGATTCATTACTATTTATTTTAGATTAATTGAACAGGAAAATATTAATGTGAATAGCCGACATCCATTAGGATGGTCTGTATTACATGTAGCAGTGATCAATAACAATATAGAGTATGTATACAACAGTTATTGTTGTATCTATTTAGCTATATTATTTGCTACTTTTCTTTAGATGTGTTAGATATCTTCTTCAGAAAGGAGCTGATCCAAATGTCTGTGACGAATATACAAATGTATCACAAATGGCAAAAAAGTTACAATGGCATCCCGTTCAAGTTCATAGTGCAAGAGAAGAAGAATTTTGTGATCGTTTATCAAGTCGTGCAACGTTCAAAGGTTTTACGCCGTTGCATTATGCTGTTTTAATGGATAACATTGAAATTGTTCAATTATTGATTGAGTATAATGGTAATCTATTACTAGAAAATGAACAGGGGCATTTACCGTCGGCATATGCATTGGCACATAGAAAAGATTTATTACTACTGTATGAAAAAAGTGTATGTGTTGAAACAAGTACAGGAAAAAGATTTTTCTGTATGGCAACTAACGATCTTTCTAGTTTTTGTTAAGAAATAGTTTATTTTTTACATAGAGTTATTTGACTTAAAACTTTAGTAAAGTGAATGATTGTTATTTGAGATGACCAATTTCAAAACAGAGATATTCGTGAACATATTAAGAGGGTGCCGTGACCAGCCAGATGCCCTGAGGATAATTCTCCCCAATAATTCAAAAGTTTTTGTTTTCTTCCCAGTAAGAGAGAAAGTGAAACGCTTTACACTACCTCAGCGAGGGGTTTTTTATTCTTCCAAAAATCTAAAGATCGCAACATCCTGGATATTAACTATATGTTTGCCTCGGATAAATATATTGTTAATATGTTCAGAACGATGGTTATTGTCCTCCTCTCTACTTCAGAACTTTCTCCGTTTTTAGCTGATCTTTATTGACTTTCTGTCAAGTTTGTGAAATAAGGTGAATTTCTCGTTTAAGATAATAAAATATTTTCGAAATGAATAAATTTCTACTTTTGTTTTTAGGCTCAGAAACTGCATGAACAGCGTATGAGAGACGAACGTCGAAAACGGCCACTCGAAGTTAGAATTAAAGAAAATATAATTGGACAAAATCATGCTATATCAACAGTTTGTGCTGGTAATTTAATTTATTTAATCTCAGTATATAGCCAAGAAATCAATATATTGTATGTTTTATTCTGTTTGTTTACAGCTATTCGGCGAAAAGAGAGTGGTTGGACAAACGATGAATCTCCATTGGTGTTTTTATTCTTAGGATCATCTGGAGTTGGTACGTAACATAGGCAAAGAAATAACTGACTTATTCAAAAAATGAGTAGTATTCAATCTTTATTTTTCGTCCGTTAGACTCATAGAATGTTTTATCGTGCAATTGTTATTTATTTAAGTATTATTAGTATTTCTGTTTTTGCTTGCTAGGCAAGACTGAGTTAGCTAAACAAGTTGCTCGGTATTTAAATGGTGATAAGAAACAAAATCGTTGTTTCATTCGTATTGATATGTCGGAATATCAGGAAAAACATGAAGTAATGAATTTTATACAATCCTATTGATCACAGTGTTAAATATGAAAGGTTATTTAAGGTTTCCAAATTAATTGGCGCTCCTCCTGGTTATATTGGCTATACCGAAGGCGGACAACTCACAGATGCACTACAAAAGTGTCCCTCGGCCATTGTTTTATTCGACGAAGTTGATAAAGCTCATCCAGATGTTCTCACTGTAATGTTACAATTGTTTGATGAAGGTCGGTTGACAGATGGTAAAGGCAAAACAATTGATGGAAAAAATGCCATTTATGTCATGACAAGTAATTTGGCTAGTGAAGAGATTGCACAGTATGCTCAAGAATTGAGAAAAGAAGAGGAATTAAGATTAAAGTCATACAATATAATAAATGGTACTTGGCTTCTTCAAATAAAGAGATTAATGCAAATTAAACAATATTGACCATTTAGAAACTAGTGAACCAGATAGTAACCAAAAAATAACAGTATCACGACAATTCAAAGATAAAGTCGTTAAACCAATTCTAAAAGTAGGTCATCACATTCATTTTACGAAATGTTATTGTGTCAGTAGCTACATTTAGCGTCATTTTCGTCGTGATGAATTTCTCGGTCGAATTAATGAAATGGTCTATTTTCTTCCATTCTCAAGAGCAGAAATTGTAAAATTATTAATAAAAGAATTGGAGTTTTGGCAAACAAGGGTAAGTGTAGACTATTTTCTGTTAGGGAAATAGATTTTGAAAACGATTGAATGTTTGTCATATTTTATTTTGTTTACTCGTTTAGGCAAAAGATAATCATGGCATCAATTTAAGTTGGTTAGTCTCTCTTTTTGTATCTGATAACGACTACTACTGTAAATGGTTACCTAAACAATGACATATGGTATTTAATTTTTGTTTTTCTAGGGATCGAAAAGCTTTAGACTGTTTAGCTGATGGTTATGATATCAATTATGGTGCTCGATCGTTAAAACATGAAGTATCACATCATCAAGTAGGATAAAGACTAATAAATAGCTCATTAGTTTCGTTAATCTAGATCGAACGTTCTGTCGTAAATCAATTAGCAGCTGCACATGAACAGGGAATGATTGAATCTGGAAATCAAATATTATTAACAGCACAAGAAAATTTGTTTCAAAAAAATGATTCAACATCAAATTCATCTGTTAAATTACAACGAGTCGAATCGAAAGGCAGCGGACTATTCGGAAAAAACTCTCATACGGTGACATATACAGATATTATACCAGAAGATCATTTGAGAACATATTCACTCTAAATTCATGCTGTTTTTTTTTTTATACAACAAATCGTGCACATATGATTTATATTAAGCATCTAGAAAAAAACCATTTGAACAAAATTTTTATTTTGTTTATTGGCTGTTCATTTGTTAAATTAACAAAAACAAAATGCAACACTCTAAGAAAAAGTCAAACTATATATCATGATAATATAAATTTAATTCGTCTGAGACGATATACGGATTTGAAAAATATGATTTTAGCGTCTAATCACAATATAATTAAAAGATACAAAAAGAACAAAGAATGGAATTGATATGCAAAATAAAATGAACAAAATTACACTGTTAAATATGAAATTGACATTATGTTCGTGCAAGACTGTAAAAATAAAAGAAACAACAATGAAAACGGAACTAATAAAAAAAAATAACAATAGTACAGAAACAATAACAGCAACAAGCTGAACATACTCAAATATTTCAATGACAATGTAAAGTATCCTCATAAAATTTCAATGTAAATATTTGTAGACAATACTTCTCGTACAATTCATTCCCAATAATATCAGTCATTTCTCTCTAGAAAAACACAAATAGAAATAGACGTTTAATCGTAAAATAATCATTGCTGCAGTGCAGTATGCATATAACATTATTTCATCAAATGTTTTCGCTAACCTTCAACTCAACTTCTCCGACACGATCGATAATATCAAGTAGTCGACGAAGATTGAAGGAACTTATTTCACTTAAACAATTTCTAAAAATAATAATTGTTGACATTTATTTACAAATCAATAATACAAAAATAAACAATGTACAAAGGCATGCTGACCGAAATATTGGTTCATTGATAACACCAATATGAAAATTTTCAATATACTTACTGTCTTAATGCATCACGTCGTTGAGAAAATTTACTCGTATCACCAAATGGGTAATACATTGTTCGATCAGCCAATAGTACCTTATCAGAAGGTATCAAATGTCTTCCATTCATGACAATTGAAGCTTTTACATCTAAATACAAAATATATGAACAATTATTGAATGATGTTTCTGTCTAGTACACTCTTTGTCTTTACCTATCTCATCATCATCAACGATTGTGCTATTATTTACTGAACTACTACTATTTATTGATTCATTATCGTCGACTGACTGTGAGCGACATATAGTAGCAATCGATGTTGGTAGTTTAAGTGTGGCTGTCAACATGAACAGTAAACAGTTCATGTCTTTCTCACTAAATACAATATATACAATTAGAAAGTATATACACATAGATAAGAATGATAATGAAACAGTTTCGTCTCTTTTACCCGTCATTCTTTTTTTCCACTTCAATGTCTACATTTTCTTTTGATGAAAATTCCTTCTCCGAATAAAAATTAACATCGTTACTATGATGATTATTAATGGTCTCATTGGCGTTCAATAATAGACTAGCAATAGTTGACGAACTTCCACTATGATTAGCTTGAATATTACTAGAGCTGTATAGCTTTTTACGACGTCGAATACGAGCACTTTCATTTGGATGATAATCCTTGAAAAAAGAAAGAAAAAAAATTAAACTTATCTAGTCTCATGATTTCGAACGGATAAATAAAATTACTTTTTTACAAGAGGAAGTCGGCCTATGGTATATATCCATGTCTCAAAAATTGGCTAACTTTTTATAATTAATCGTAATTTAAGAAAATTCATCAATTAATCATGATTCTTATGAGTTATAAAAAAATCGTTGATAGATTTCGATTAAAAGATAATTTTTGCTGTAATCGCAAGCAGCCATTAAAGTTTTTGATTAATCAGGAGAAAATTCTGCTTAAAATATCTGATTTGAACTCAAATATTTTTTTAAAAATTTCCACTATATACATACATGATTAGAATCGAATGAGCTGTTCGTTTGCGATAGTGAATCGTCGATGCTATATGAAGAATGATTACTATTCTCTCCATTGCTCATACAGTGGTCTGCTTCACATCGCTGTCGAAGTCCATTGTCTTTGTTAGAATAGGACTCTAGTTCATCTTGTTTTCGTACAATTACATTATCGGATAGTTGTCCAGCGCATGCCAGTGATGAAGATTTTCGAAATATTTGATCATGTATCTAATATAAATAGTATCTTAAAAATAATACAACACTCACTGGATCTTTATACTTACAACCGGTGTATATTCTTGATCTGATTCTTGTGATTTACCACCATATATCTGTTTTGAATTGCGTAGATGATTTTTTAGTTTTTCTTGTTTAGCATGATCATTCAATTGAGTATGATCTCGTCGACGTCGATTCAATGTATCATTTTCTTTTAATTTGGCTAAAAAACTTCTATTAACTTCATGTTCATCATCGTTTTGCTTCTGTTGTGAGACGGAATTATTAGACATTCTTCGTTGTAAAATTCGACGTACTCTCGGTTCACTCTGCTTTCCTACATCATTTGACAACGATGGAGGCAAAATTACAACATTATCAACCGTTTTTGCAGATGACGTTCGTGGTGTGTGAATCTGTGATGGGGATGACGGTAAAATATTAACTGAATTTCCATTTTGATGATTTTTAGAAGAAAGTGATGTCACAGGTAATGGAAGAACGGACAAACGTTCAGTAGTAGAATTTATACGAGATCGCGTCGGAGATGACACGGATATTGCTGATGATGGTTGGCTGGGTGAATTAGTTGGACTACCAATCACCGATTGGGATATTTGATTTTGATTCTGACACCTAAATATGAAATGTAATAATGATTTGAACGTAACACAACGTTGTTTCTCATTCCTACCTACTTCGCATATCTACCTGAGTTTTGTTTTTTCTAATAATTGTACAATATGCTGTTTAATATATGGATTTTGTAGCAACTTTTTTGCAGTCGGTCGCTTAGCAGGATTTTTACTCAATGTCGATCTGATAATTGAATTCAATTCTGTACTATAATTTTTCGATGTTTGTGGAGGCTAGAAAAAAACGAAGAACCTACTTACTATAATACAATATTTATGTGTCACTCATTCGATATTACTTGACCCCGAATAATTTTGATGACAAGTGAATTCATGTCTTTCGCGTTGAATGCATGCTCTAACGTTGTCATTTCATACGCACAACAACCAAGCGCCCAAATATCTTTTCAAGAAAGATCCAAAACAATCCTTTTTAAAACAGTGACTATTTAATAACTCACCAGACTAAAATAGAGCAAAAAGTCATGAAAATTATTAATCATAACTCATTAAACAAAATCTAGAGAAAAAAATTGTAAGTAATGTTTACCTTTTGTCCATATGGTTTATTGGAAAATATTTCTGGACTCATATAGTATCTGGAAGAAAATAATGAAAAATGATTAAAATCAGCCTGATAAGTGACTAGTACAACTGTCTCACGGTGTGCCAATGATTGTTGTAGCCATGTCGTTAGAATTATCCAATATTCTCGCGATGCCTAGATCTCCCACTTTCACTATATCATTTTTTGTTAAAAATATATTTTGTGTTTTCAAATCGCGATGTAAAACGTTTTTGTCATGCATATATTGCAATGCCATACATATTTGTATCAACCATTCAACAATCTGATTCTCATTTAATATTTGTTCTTTCGTTTTCTGTTCTTTCAATTTTGTATGCAAATCCCCACCTTCACAATAACTCATAACTATATTTAAGTAACCATCAGTCGAACGAAATGATTCTACATAAGAGACAATATTTGGATGTTTGAGCGACGAAAGAAGTTCAGCTTCCCGCTCAGCTCCCTCTAATTCGGTTTGTAGTGCATTATTTTGCTGTTTCAGATCTAATCGTTTCAAAACAAACTAAAAATAAATCAATTTAGAACTATTTCTATTATTTATGTCACAAATTATTCTTTCAAAAAACTAGTGCGTTGAAATGTTTTCGTTTTACTGTGACATTGACTTACGTACCTGTTTGTTTATTTGCTTAGAACGCAGTGGTTGAACAAGCCATACTGCACCTAAACAAATGAATAAAGATATCTTTATCACTGTGCAACTTGAAATTATTTATATAAAATGACATTAAATTTTGTATTAGAAGTTGTTGGCTCACCGTAGCTGCCTTTTCCAATTTCCTTGACAAAGTTGTATTTATCTTTGGCATCAATATCCTGAATATGTAAACCTGTATCGGACGTAGTTTTTCTCAAAAACATTTTAAAAGTGGTATATTTTCAAAATAAGAAACTCAAACGTGAGACAGATTCATTTCTCTAGTTGTGTAAAGTTGAAAATAATTATAACAGTATAGAATTTGAATGAATTACCTGCTTCGCTGAAGAAAATAGTTGGATAGCTTTTCTGAAATGTTTAGCCATAACCTACATATGAATTTGACCGAAGCCAGGGAAACCTTGAAATGAACGTGGAAATGAACCACAAAAAGACAAAAGTCAATATCTTTTATTGTATTAACGATATTGTTTCCAAAATGTTATAAGATTTTATAAAAGGATATTTTGAAATATCGCTAGTTACCATGAAATAGAATGCTTCTATAGTAGATGTCGTTTAATGTAGCGTTTGTTAAGCCACTTTTTAGTACGGAGTATGAATGGATATATTTTTGTACAATGCTTTTGTTCTTTTCTTTTCTTTGCACTTATTATATTTATACATAAAATAATATGTATTACACTAACTAAAAATACTTATACATAAAACTATATTACAGTAACTAAAAACATATTACCAAGAGTATTGGGATTATCTGACAGTTTATACTTTATATCACTAGTGTTGATATTATCGAAAATGACTACAAAAAAGCGCAAGTCTGAAGTAAAATTTTGTCGGTGTTGCTTTGTCGATCTAAAATTACAATTTCTTTACGTTTTTAGACATTAATAAAAACCGATGATGATGCAAAAAAGTCGAAACGCAGTCAAATAAAAACTCGTATCATGGAATCGGCTGACTTCTTAACATCAGCCAAAACATACAAATTGATCATTTCTGATGGAAAAGGAAAAGAAGTGACTTCATTCGAATGTATACCGAAAGAATTCTCTACCGGTAGTTTTGGTTGGGCGACTAATGGGAAAAAGTTTTCAACAAGTATTGGCGGAACTGAAGTCAAAGTACAAATAAATTGTAATTTGATTGTTGATGATAGTAAACCTGTGAAGAATACAACTCAGCCTTCGAAAAAAGTAAACAAACAAGAACTATCGTCAGATACAGAATAAAATATTCATAAATATTAAAACTTGTGAATTTTTTTGAATAAACTGCTTATAATGCACTACAAAGTTCAGAAAATAGAATGGTATTATAGAAACTAATTTCCATAGGTGATTATTCACACTGGGTTCATATAATAGAGTATATAAAGTACAGAACTGCTGTAAAATACATGAGAATGTATTGTACAACAGTTCTGTACTTTATATACCCTCGTATTATTACTGCTCATCCAAGTAGATTAATATAACTTGTCCTTGTACTTTAAAATTGTTCATAACTCTAAATTTGCCTTGTGAATTCTGTGTACTTCCCTATAAACTAACTCATCATCGATCTTACCTGTCAAGTCTGCTCTCAATGTTTCGATCTTCTGTTGTTTAAAATAAATTTGTTTGTTATTTAAAAGAGTTTTTTTTTTTTTCTTATATAACCATATGAAGTGGAAATTAAAAGTCGACTTTCTTAGCGCCAGAAGGAATGAGCTCTAACTTTGCAGAAACTTTATTTATTCTTCTAGATAATAATAATGTTTGAATAAAGCGTCGAGGTCGTTTTCTTTTGAAAACGCCAGCAGATAGATGTCACTGATGAAGCGCCGTCTATCTGCTGGCGTTTTGAAAACAAAAAGAGCTCGACGCTTTATTCAAACATTATTATTATCTAGAAGAATAAACAAAGTTTCTGCAAAGTTAGAGCACATTCCTTCTGGCGCTAAGAAAGTTGACTTTTAATTTCTACTTGATATGCAAATGCTTCAAAAGAAATGTACAAGTTTAATGATTAAATTGTTGTCTTTCCTTTGAGAAAAGAAACAAATTCTCAATCTCTCGATCAAACAACTAATCCAAATAAAAGAAATTGTAATTGTTCAAAAAGACGAAAAAAAAAAGGAAGCCAAGTAGGCGAGAAGGGAGTACCCTAATCGAGACTCCTGATTAATCTCCCGCAGGAGTCCTGGAAAAAAAGTCCTACAGGAGTCAGCAGGAGTCCTGTCACGGGGGGGCCGGCAGGATCCTCTGTGGAGTCATGGAGGATTTTTAAGGGATTCAAGAGGGATTCCTCAAGACTCCCACAGGAGTTC